ACTTTCTCTGGTCCTTCAAATTATCAGTTTCCGAGGCTATGCCTGGGAGACGCATTTTCACTCCTGTGTTTCTCCCTTTTGCGGACGTACCCAAAAAACTACTTGGGCATATAATGAATTCTGCTGCCAGTCGGCACTTGACAGAAATTGTAACAACCCATATTTGTTTGCGGTCTTTATAACGTAGCTTCATATTTTCGGCGGGTGTTATGGGATTTCGAATTTGCAAGGGATTATCTCACGGCCTCTGTTTCTTCTTTATGATCATTTTTGTCTTTGAAGTGACCCACGGCGGTCGCGCCTATGGTCTCACTATTTTTATTGGACAATCGGATTCAATTAGATGTTCTATAATCCCGCCAAAGTACCCCCAGAATTCCCCTGAATGTTTCTCCTGAATTCTGTTTTCTCCTGGTTTTTTTCTCCTGAATTTTCCCGAATTCTGCTGACTAGCCAGGGTTCCTCTGAAACAGCTCGTCTCAACATATTAAATCCACCTTATAAATATTCCTGCGCCTCTGAGTTTGTCCTTGTGGTTTCGATAGGAGAGAGCACACACGGGTATAATCAATATTATCGCTTAAACCGAGTGGAAATTCAGCATTTACTTTTCTTATGACCCCTCTCCTTTACTAAAAACGCGATCTAAACAGTTTAATCGCCGTGCTTCCCCTAGTCTTCTTCCTAATTTTATGTGTTGAATGTGATATTTGTCCGGAGCAAATTGTGGTAGGTTGTGGTCGAATGACGTAGATGGGGCATTTGGTAAGTAAATGTTCCAGTCCATTCCCCAAGCTTTAACGTCACGCAGAAGTAGTAACTTCTCTTGCTTAAATAACACCTCCAGTGCACTCATGCGTTCAATTTCGGCGCTGTCATTCAAACCGGGAGGGCGGTAGACAACTCATAGCTAAGTATCAGTAACTGTCTGGTACTAATCTTGCATTAAATTATTTCAAAATTTCACGCTGCTGTATCGGACATTTCCCGTCGACAGCACTTAATTTCATTTGATATATAAATCTACATTGAAATCTGACACAAGGTTAGGCTGATAACTTCCACTGCTTTCTTCTGGACTACTTATTTCCTTAGTAAACCATGTCTCTGTCAAAACAATTATGTGAGGTTTCTGCTCAGATGCTATTAACTGGAGTTCATCTAGCTTGTTCAAGAGACAACGACCACTGGTGCCCATAGTAGCCTCGAAAGTGGACATGTTTATATTAGTTAGGCCGTCAGAATAACTGCATTCAACCGAGGGAATACTCTTCTGGTTGAACTACTTGTCCGTCCATTATTTTGACGTATGTTTCGTCGTTGCTCCTCCGCTCTTCTACTTCTGTTATCAACTGCCCCATTTTCATTCACTCTTTTGACTCGTAACCCGGACGAGGAAAACTTCGCGATGCTGGCACCGCAAAGGCGACTTTCTTCGTAAAAGGAGCTGGGCCTTTAATCCAGTTTCCAAAATGACTTTAAAGGCTCGTGGCGAGTCCCTATCATTGGATTTGAGAGTCTTGGTGGTGATGGTAGAAGGTGATGTGACATCACATGTCGTCCCACTGATGTGGAGAGTACGTGGAGTCGTAGTGGTGATGATGGTAGCTGCGGTCGATGCAGGGGTTGGGTCAGGGTGGATGGTGGTAACGAGGCAGCGACAGTATGATCGGCAATGACGGGGCTAGCGGTAGGCGCGGGGTCTGCTGCAGAGGCGAGAATGGGAGGAGAAGTGGATATTGCCGATTTGTCGGCGCATTGGATCTGAAGGTGTCGGGAAAAGCCGATTCGCGTGGAATCCCCATTGGCAGTGCGGGAATGTTAGAAGCGGCGGATGGTTGACCCTGAGGAGGCGAGCCATTTTTGATTTGCTAGTTTCCCATTTAGATTTGGATCGGTGATCCAATTTGCTTTATAGATGGCAGGGCCGGTCTGTTCTGGGCGAGGTCCTCCCAAGTCTCCGGATTGATATTCAATTCAGTGTGTTTTTGTGATTTCGTTATGGGCCTCACGGTCGGCACGCACCGGCGGCAACATCAACATAGAAGAACTGTCTCGAGACACGTGAATCTTCTATCCTCGTGAGATGGATAACCCAACGTAGTTGCAGCTGCCTCAGCATGGCGTGGATGCTGATTATTCCTGTTTTTTTTCTAGAATTTCCGTGTCGGGGGTCCTGATTTGCAGTCTCAGATTTAGTGTTCTGTGAAGGCAGCTGATATGAAAGTATTTAGAATTATTTATATGGCGGAAGTAGACGGTTCAGGCCTTTGCCTCTTAGAGAACTGCCGTTGGGACGATGGCCTCGTTCATCTTCAGCTTTGTATTCATTTGAAGACCATGAGGATTCCACACGGAGTTTTGCGGCCGGTCAAAGGCTTGGCTGGCTTTTGAAACCCTGTGGAACATTTCGTCGTAGATTCTGATGTAGGAAGACATTGTGCTGCCTATGTAGCTGAAGTTATTCCCGGTTTTCAGTTCGGTACCATTGACACGGACGCAAGTGACAGTTCGACCATCGGTTTTGATGATGTCCATCGTGTGCCCCGCAGTTGCAGCAGCAATGGGAGCAGGGACGGTGACTTGCGCAGGGGTTTATAGTGCCGGTAGACTTGCGTAGCATCTACCTACACTCTCTCCTCCTCCCTCGCCCGAACCCGGTGTCAAGACAGTGTCAAGAAGACCGGAGACGAGAGAGGCCGCAGGTGGATGGCTCGGACGGATCCTCACCTTAGCGTTCCCCCACACCCCCTGGTCCGCCCAACAAATAACCAGGATTTCAACCAACATAACAGAGATTTGGAGGCTGGCACGGCCGAAGCCGTACCTGGGCGTGCCGCCAACGCCTGGCTCGGATCCCACACTGTGATGGGAGTGCCATAAAGGCCACATTAAAAAGGAACCATTGCAGCCTGACTCTCAGACCGCCTCCGGTCAAGGAGGAGGTCCAAGTTACCCCGTCAGTTGGCAACCTTCCAAGCCACGGCTTTTAGCGCACCGTGATAGCTTCAAGCGCGTCAGATTGTATATAGTGAGGAAAATGCGCTGAGTCGTCGACCTCACTCTCCCTTCCCACTCCCACACCCCAGCCGCTATCCGAGCCGGTCAGCAGATTGGAGTGCGGAATGGGCGCGGTGGCTGTCATGGTCGACTGACGATGACTGCGCGCGCCACGGCACGACCTGTCCCCCCATACACACAACACCAGGATTTCACACAAGGGGGGTTGAACGGCGTGTCTCTCACTTGCGTGAGAGTGTCATGGAAGGTGCTGTTTCAGTCCGTTCCCAGCCCACCAGTCCGCCACTCCACACAACACACACACACAACGCGACGAACTGTGTGAACCGAGAGCGGGCGTCAATCAGCAACCTTCCTATCCACGACGCTTGACGTGTCGGGATAGTCTCGGACTCAAGTCACCCGTGCAGCCGAAGCCGCATGGGGACCGAGTCGAGAGGTGGCAGTTGGGTGCATGAGATGTGAGAATGTTGGCTTCTGGTGGGGTGATGGTGGTGGTGGAGGAGGTAGGGAGTGAGTGAATGTGTGGTGTGGCCGGCGGTTGTCTACCGCAGGTCGTCGTGGATGCGCATGTGGCCGAATAGACCCATGCGATGCCTGAAAGTGCGAGGACAGTGTGGGCAGTTGAGACGAGCTTGGTGGGTATAGATGGGTGCTCCAGGCACTGGTTCGCCAGTCTCTGTGCGATGGATTCGCAAGTGACGACCAGGCCGATGCGTGAGGTGAATGTGCGTGGACAGTGTGGGCATGAGAAGTCGGCGGTGTCAGTGTCAGCTACAGGGGAGGCGGTGGTGGTGGTGGTGGTGGTGGTGGAGCGGACCGATGGAACGAGTGTAGGGGTGTGCACGGTGGATGTGTTGGAT